TGTAAATGAATATTAAAAAAATATCGTTAACGTCTCCAACTATTCTGTATCCATTTTCAAATAAATTCTTCCAGGAATTAAATTGTACAATCAAAACAATAAAAGAAATTAAAATTCATTTTTGAAAGTTTTATAAATATATCTTAAAGTTTAACACCGTAATACGAATTCTACTTTGATTTCTTATAAACTCAGTTTTTATGTTTTAGGTTAGAATCATAAATGCTTTTTTACATGCGGAATAATAACATTTCCAGCGATACTTACTTTGGCATCACATCGATCAGCAACACTACTAATATTAATTATATAATCCAAAGTGTTATTTTCGTCCATTATTCTTATACCTACGCGACAAGTAACAGCAGCGTTAACAAATTTTGTGTCCAAACCAGATTTCCAAGCGTTGATATTTCCGGAAATGCTGGGAGTAGGCGTCCCAGCTGCAGCATTATTTATAAAAACGTGAATACCACAAAGATTTGTTTGCGATTCATTTGAAAGCATCTAAAATTTCTTAAGTATTTCTCAAAGCGACTTTTCGTATCAATCATACATAACTCCTTAACGCAATATCCAATTTTGGTATACTATTTAATTATACCCTTGTTTATAGATATACATAGTTATCCAATCGGACGAGTTGGGTTGCTCTAGCTCGTGCTGCCTCTAACGGCAAACAAGAAAAACATCGTTATGAATGAATTGAATAAAATTGGAAATCCAACTTGTAGTAGAAGTTGCATATTCAGAATAAAAGATTAAGTGAATTTATGTGATTGAACACGAAATTGTTTAACATATAAAATATTTAATTACATTAAACATTACATCTAAATATTTTAAAAAATATCTGTCCTTTTTTTATAACAGAGAACCAAAAATTGTCTTGCTAATTAAATGGTGAGTTTTGATTTTTGTTCGTCCTATTGCAGACTTAATTCCAGACGTGGTAGCGCCGAGCGTTCCTCCACATATCAAACGAGTAGGTAGTATAAACAAAGTTTTTTTGCAACTACTCGAGTTTGGATAAACGATTTCACGTATACAAATTCGTTCTTTATTATTTCGTCGTTGAGAATTCTTTGGTTAAAATACAAATACGAAAATTAAGAAATATTAATTAGAATCAATTAAATAAATAAAAACGAAGTATGTATTTCCCATTTTATTAACGAGTGTTTCTAAATTGATGTGAAAGATTTCAAGGGATGATTTTTCAGCGAAAATTACGGGGTGATTTTCATATAACTTTTTGTTCTTC